TAAAAGGGGAATAATTGGATAATGTGTTTAATGTACATACGCCTTGAATAGGGTATGGTTACGAATTGAACTGATACAAAGGAAGAGTTTGAGAATGTGTTCATTGTGTTTTTGTCGAATTTGAAATTGTGATGGATCTGAAACGTATAGTTGGTTATGTTGTGAATGATCGTTTATTTTCGGAGTTGTGACTGTTGAGATGAGAACTACGTGTGGCTTGATCCCTTGTCCAAGGGTACGTAGGCAGCCTGGGGTCTCATCAGGCGCAGCCGCGAGATATGATTGTGTTTAAAAGGTTTGATCGATTCTGCGCACGTGATTTTCGATGTTATTGTTGGGTTTGAATCCGGTTTAATGATTTCCGTGGTATTTATAAAGTTGTTTGAGACCATTAATTGTTTGGTTTATGTATTGTTCGACTTAAGAATATTGTTGGTGTTGTTTCGAATTATCTGAAGGCCGGAGGCCGATTATATGAATTGCATGAGATTAAATTGTGCGTGCTGCCTGTTGGTATATTAAAATGTGAATTTTGTGCAGATTGAAATTTGGGGAATGTTCAATTTATAGGGACTAAAGAAAGAGGCTATGAAAGATTTGGACCTTGAAGCTGGGCATAATAATGTGGAGATGTCATCTTCCACGACCCATATGCACACCGACCTTGGTCTGTTCTTGGAAGAGGCCGAAAAGGTGAAGCAGGAGATGGGTTCTGTCCGGGACATTCTGGGGCGTCTACAGCAAACCAACGAGGAGAGCAAGTCCCTCCATAAGTCTGAAGCTTTGCAGTCCTTGCGCAGCAGAATTAATGCGGACATTATGACGGTGCTGAAGAAAACCAGGACTATCAGATCTCAGCTGGAGGACATGGACCGCGCCAACGCAGCCAACAGGAGGCTCTCCGCCTACAAAGAAGGCACCCCGATTTACAGGACCAGAATTGCCGTCACCAACGGACTGCGAAAGAAGCTCAAGGAGCTTATGATGGATTTCCAGGGCCTGAGACAGAGGATGATGACCGAGTACAAGGAGACTGTGGGGAGACGCTACTTCACGGTGACTGGAGAGCACCCGGATGAGGAGGTTATCGAAAAGATCATCTCGAATGGGGATGGAAACGGCGGCGAGGAGTTTCTTGGGAAGGCCATACAAGAGCATGGGAGGGGAAAGGTGCTGGAAACTGTGGTGGAGATACAGGACAGGCACGACGCGGCGAAGGAGATTGAGAAGAGCCTGCTGGAGCTGCATCAGATATTCTTAGACATGGCTGTGATGGTGGAGGCTCAGGGAGAGCAGATGGATGATATTGAACACCATGTCATGAACGCTTCCCACTATGTGAAGGATGGAACAAAACATCTGACGACTGCCAAGGGATACCAGAGGAGCAGCAGGAAGTGGATGTGTATTGGAGTCATAATCCTGCTCCTGCTCATTCTTGTCATTGTCATCCCCATTGCCACTAGCTTCGCTAATTCTTGAATTCAATTGGCAGTACTTTGAGTTTGCTTCAATTGCTTGTGTTGAGGCCTTGGGGGGTATGTTAATGCTGTTTAGTTTCGTCTGTGGACTTGTTCTTTCTTTTTCTTTTTCTTTTTCTTTTTTGTTGGGTCAAATTTCTTCTGTGAAGTTGGATATGTTTGTTTTGGTTCATTCTTTTATTCATGGAAATATGATTAAAACATTACTACTATTGGTATTTTTTAGTATCACTTAACTGGGCATATCTCATACAATATAAATAATTCCACCTAAACCCTAATATTAGCTAACATTTCCCAACCAGAAACTGACTTAGCTAGCTCAGATTAAATGCCCAACTCAGCAACATTCCCCCCTCCCTATAGATAGACTCTCCTCAAGGATCAAAATTAGCATAGGCCAATTTCCTAATTATTTGGGCAAATTCTATAAGCAACGAAGGCCCAATAAACAAAACCCATTCAAATGGTCAAACGTTGACCAAACTAATCAACCATGTCTAAGGCCCAGGCCCATTGAACAAAAGTCAACTCTAAATGATAAACATTGACCAACGCATGGTCAATCAAGCAGACCAGGACCCGTCGGACAGACAGAATGTAAGAAATCAATTAATGTAATTATAGCCAAGATGAATGGTTTTAAATACAAATTATTGTTAATTCAGAATACCCAGTTCATTCTTATACCGCAAATAATTAATTAACATACTTTGAGTAATATTTCAAACCATGATGTTGCCACACGTAACGCGCTTTGATTTGTTTTCACGATACAATACGTTTGGATTAAGAATGTCTAAAGGCCCAACAAAAGGACTCTCTCAGTAAAATGGTTTTTTGGGCCGTTCAGAATTAGAAAACTAAATGTCCAAAGATTGGGGCCCAATGTCAATCTTCTCCAAAAACTTTGACTTTCCTATAAAACAGTTGTTAAGCAGCTTTTACCCAATTAATAGTGTGGTGTGAGTACCCAAATTTGAACTCAAAGTTGATTTCGACGGCTAAAGAAGACTTAGGTGGCAAAGAAAGGTTGAGCAATCGCATTAAATGTGATTTAAATTGTGAGACTCATCATCATCATCAAACTTGGTAAAACACAGATAAACACGTGGATCAAAGTAAAATCAAAGTCCACCATTTCACCTACAGAGAAAGAATGGGCACAAGGCTAAGACATCTCTTTACCAAACGTGCAATTTCAGGATTCAAGGAGTCTATAAATGGAAGCAGAACTTACGATCCAAAGGACAGCCAATTCCAAGAACAAAGAACCAATTTGAACAACATTCAAATGCCCTCGACTCAAACACCTTGTCAAAGTATCTCACGGCAGACCAAAGCCAGGACTTGAATCAAATCCTCTCATATTCTTTGAGTTCCCAATTGATAACTCCTAATTGGAACTTCTCCCAAACACATAACATGTTTAATTCCCAATGGACAACTCCTTGGAATTACATTGCTATTGTTTGTAACTTTAATGCTTTTCCAACTTTATTGCTTGGTATGATTTTATAAGTTGGTCACCAATTCCAGCGTCTTTAAAATCAACTTTGTATATGTCACATCTTATGTATACTGCATATATTGTTGACAAAATCTTATTGGACATATTGTACTATCTCAAGTAGATTATAGTTGTGTCCGAGAAGAGTTATTTCTGTCCGATATGGTTCCCCTAGGCCTTGTTAGGCCTTTTATTGTTTTCATTTGAGTTTATTTAGGTATACTTGGACTTGTATTTGCTTTCTTGTAACTGCACTGTATTCATCGAACACTTTTTACCTTTAAACTTGTATTGTACTTTCTGTCCGATATTTAGTTAAAATCTTCATTCCTTTCGAGTTTTATTTCATAGCAAGTGAAATATTGAAGTCCTCTTAGTTGAGGCTTAGAAAAGAACCTATTGAAGCTAGATTCCCCACTTGGAGCACAGTGGTTTTGGTTAGAGGTTAAGATCAAACAAGGGCAATACATTCATTACACAATTTCACCTCTTTTTACTAGGAGAGTAAAACACTAATAGTGGCACACCTAACGCACTTGAGAAAAACCAATATTTGAGCCCATTCTAGGGTCCAATCTTTCATTTCTTGATCAACAAGTAAACCATAGCAGCCAAAATATAGCATGTTAGAAACCTAAGGCATCACAATGTTCACCAAAAGCCCACAAATACTTTTGGCACGTACAAAGTTATAGTATTCTTCCCAAGTAGCTTATTCTTTGGAATGGTGATGCCTAAGCCCTATTTGTGATAACAAGCAATGACAAAGAAGGAACAATAGTTGGGCCAACCAATATGCCACATATCAGTGTTCACTAAACTTAGTTAGGTTGCAGTATATGGAATGGATGTGAAGCTAAGGATTTGTGCTGATATGACACCAATCTCAAAGCACGACGGGCCTGACTTTTGAATGACCTAGGTGTAAACTTTACTAGGTTTATATATTCACAACACATACCTTGATTCGACATTGTGAGAATTACTGCAGCAGGAACTTTGATTACTTGCTTGGGAAGAAACTGGAATTCTGCAGGAGCTGTGTTCTTGACTGGTTCGGGCAGATTTGTATTAGGGCAGTATCTCTATGCTATATGGCTCTTGAGTCTCTTCTTGATGGGGTAGAATAATATGAGAATGTTATTATGCCGTTAGCATAGGGACCTCCCTTTTATAGGTGTAGTTTAAGTATCCTCCTCATCATGGATTACTTAAACTCCTTTAACCAATAGGAGTAGGTATCTCAATCCATTTAGAATTAGGAAACCTTAAGCACTTGTATTTATCTTAAATCAGTCATATATATCAAGTCTTAAATTTAATCGATCCATGTAATCCTAATTGACATTGAACTAGTTATCCTTAAATGATTAGAAGACCACCTTAGGGTTTTGAATGCAAATCTTACAGGATCTAGTTGCACGGCCCCAAACCTCTTATTCGAACATGGCCTTGTGTCACCCAAATCTAAGCAACAAGTCGAGTCGAGTCGCGTCCGTACATCGATGAGGTCGAGGAGGGTTTGGATCGCGATGGCTTCGCTGGGTAGGGGGTTTTGAGGAGAGAAGATAGATTTATTTTTTTATCACTCAGAGTTGGTTGTGCTTGCTCCAATGGCAGATTACTTGCTCCCTAAGGATTCTTCTTTTCTTGGATTTGACAGCTCTACTCAGTAAGTTACCAATCCCTCACTCTTTCTCTCTGGTTCGATTTCATTCTTTGATGCTTCTCAGAAAATCAGAATTGATCTTGGCACTGTAAGTGGTCGGTGGATGGTGGGGTGGAAAAAACGAGAAAAGAGAGAAAGAGAGGGAGAGCTGGGGTGGGGATGAGGGGGTATGTCGGAAAAACGAGAAAAGAGAGAAAGAGAGGGAGAGCTGGGGTGGGGATGAGGGGGTATGTCGGAAAAACGAGAAAAGAGAGAAAGAGAGGGAGAGCTGGGGTGGGGATGAGGGGGTATGTCGGAAAAACGAGAAAAGAGAGAAAGAGAGGGAGAGCTGGGGTGGGGATGAGGGGGTATGTCGGAAAAACGAGAAAAGAGAGAAAGAGAGGGAGAGCTGGGGTGGGGATGAGGGGGTATGTCGGAAAAACGAGAAAAGAGAGAAAGAGAGGGGTGGGGGAATTGGAATGGGGTCGGGGATGATGAGATTGGGGGGTCGGGGACGATGCTTTTTTTTTTTTTTTGGTTTTTTAATTTGCTTTTTTTTATAGTTATTTTAAAGATATAATTTTTTTATTAAGTTTTTTGTCAATCTGTAAGTCCACCTCATCAAAAAATGCAACCAACATTAGTCATGTCAGCATTTAACAAATTTACTAACAATTTGGCTAACAAAGGGGGCAATTTGTAGGGTTCAAGTATGTACTCGTAAATATCTTTAAAATTAGGTATGAACTTGAAAATGACCCTATAGTTTAAGGGGTTTTATATAGTTTGTCCAAAAGAAAAAAGACTAGGAAATTTTGGAAGGAAAATATTATCGTGACCTAGACTCTAGTTTATGAGATGCTACCCGTAGAACAAAAGTCAATGTTGTCGTACTAGTGCATGTGAGCAGTTGGTATGACGACGTCCTCTCTTTGGTTTTGGAATCCTTTGTAGTTGATGATATGACTGTACCCCTTGATTGTATTGAATGAAATCATTTTATACTGTTAATAAATAAATAAATAAATCGAACTAGTGCCAAGTCATTATCGTAAAGCAAACTATACCATATTATTCAAATATTGGGTTTGGTTGATGTTTCGCAACCGCGGTCCAACGTAGTACGCTGAGTTTGTGTTACATTTTTTAAATACAAGCAAGCAGGTTACATTTTTTATATTTTAATATTAACTTGTTTTACGCAAATTATCAATTGACAATTATTATAAACGACAAAATAGTTGTCCCACCACCGGGCACATATAATATGAGGGAGATAATGATTCCTCTTATTTAATTTACAGAGAGCTTGTTGACTTGGGCAACCACCGGCGCATGCAGGGCTGGTTGTTCACGTAAGGGATGTCGTGAGAGGTGATGTTGAGAGGTTGTCCACGATCCAAGGTATCAGGGATTGATACTAGGCAACGAATCATTTGTATCATAATTTATTCTATAGCAACCCACAAATGTTATACAAAAACTTATATATATATATATATATATAATTTGTCTGCATGATGTTAAAATCCAGTTGTGTGCTTCTAGATTCTTTTATGCAGGTGGATTTGATTTGATACATATATATATAAGGAAAATAATTGTAAGCACACCATATATAAATATATAATCAGGGGTTTGGGTCTTCCAAAACGTATCCCAAAAGTGGGAAGGTGTGCAAAAGAACAATAAGCAATACTATTGGTTGCTACTGTAAACTTGCTTTCGATATAAACCCTTACAACTACTATATTCTAGTTATATACCTACTTACTTTTAAATCTTTACTGAAAACTCAAATCTAAAATAGGTTGTTTACAGGACCCGACCCAAATTCCACTTTGGAATCTGTGTCGAACCTTGTGCGTATCCGGCACCTGGCAGGTGCTGAGCACACTTGACCAAAATGCCCTTATAATGAAATTCAAAGTTTCTTAGGGTTTGACTTCTGCCAAAAATTTAGCAGAGTCTCCTCTATAAATTGATCGTTTCCCAAACTTTTTCACCTGTACAA